TTAAGAATTTACTCTTTGCTTAATAAATATATATATCGTCTTTTAAATCTATCCTTGTTAAATACTTTATAAAAAGAAAATACATATATTGTTGTTCTTCATCAAGGAAAGACTGAAAGGAACACTTACGTTTTGCTTCATTACTCTGCATTTTACATTTTTTTTTTAGGAACAATATGTACTTTGAGTTCATGCTTACTAATGATTCTTCGCTATAGATATTCGGTAAAAAGCAAATTGATACGCGATGGGTGTGAAAACCCCCCACACGCACGGATGGACAGCGGTAAACCAGTAAACTTCCTCCTTTATGTTCTTATTCGTCTACTCAAACAAACATAAAATATTTATAAATAAAAACCAAACACTATTTGGGTTATCAGCTCGCCTGGACAGTACAGTTAAGCAACTTTATTCATTTCATTTACAATGCACCAATGTTTGTCTGCACGTCCTTAGCCGCTGCTTCAACATAACATTAACCAATACACAATCTACAAAAGAAATATTTTTTGTTAACAATCTTTTCAAGCATGATTAATCTTAAAAACGTCCACTTCAACCATAAGTATGAATAAATCAATTTACAACATTGATTAAATATAAGTGGGTGGGTGGGTGGGTGGGGTCAGAAATGACCAGACTGGACTGTCCGAAGGCAAGCGTCGAATGACACATAATTAAACATAGATTTACCGTTACAATTCTTCCCGCTTATTTTGGCTCGTGAAATACTCAGTAATTCAGAGTAGACCTTATATCTAGTCATGTGACAAATGTCAAAACAAATACACGTGTTCATTATAACATTTATAAATACATTTCTTTTAAGCGGGGATTTAATAAAATGATGTTTTAGAATTGGAATGTCAATGCAGTAGCTTTATTTAAGTGGTATGAGGCTATAGTAAGATGACGGTTTTTCTGCGACATGTGAGCTCTATATTCACGAAAGTCACTCGGGGAAAGAAGATATCACAGCTTTTTCCATGAATGGTCGTCTAGAGAGTCTCTAGTAGAGACTCAAAAATTGTAACTTCTCTATGCTGGTATATTTTTCGCCCACCTTAACATGATACATCTGTGTTAAAATGATGAAATATCGTTAGGTATAGTTTTGTTTTTATAACTATAAATGATCATAAATAATCCATATATTATGGTACTTTATTTATCACAATTTTAAACGTTGAACAATTAAAAATATTTATTAACCTTTCATAGGCAAAATTCAAATACAAAGATAAATATAGAGGTAGTATAAGGTATATCGATGTTTTACTAATCTAACAATGCCAGGTACAGCACAGAGAAAATAGAGTGAAAACATTTGAAATCGCAGATGGGGAAAGAAAGAAGGTATTAATCTCATGTCTTCTAATTACCCAGAGATCGATGGACAAATCATAGTTTAAAGAAAATGTAAATAACTGAACAGTATCGGTATTAAACACATCAAAATATTGGCCAGTACATTAAAATAATACTGTATAATACTATAAAATTAAGGAGATGAGGTATGATTGCCAATGAGACAACTATCTACCAAAATTTAAAAAAAGTGGATGTAAGCAATTATAGGCAACCGTACGGCCTTCAACAATGAGAAAAACCCATACCGAATAGTCGGCTATAAAAGGCCCCGACATGAAAAGTATGAAACAATTCAATTGAGAAAACGAACGGCCTAATTTATAACAAAACAATTAACGAAAAACAAATATGACATATGAACCAACGACAACCACTGAACTACAGGCTCCTGACTTGGACAGGCACATATAGAATGTGGCGGGATTAAAATATTTGTGAGCGATCAACCCTCCTCCTTATCCGGGACAGTGGTATAACAGCACAACATACGAACAAACTATAAAAATTAGTTGAAAAAGGCTTAACTCATCAGATCGATACAAAGCAGAAAAACATCAAACATACACACAGACCGGACGTGGCAGGGTATTTATCCATCCCTCATCCCTGACAACAAAAATGACATCAAGTACGGATTTGAGAGTACTCGTAGTTACTGACGGCTAGTTTAAAGACAATAACAACTAATAAAAAAAATCATGTATCTAAGACTAAAATATCAATCAGTACACATCCAACATCCAATGGATTTAGTGTAAAGACGTGATTAACAGTCAGAGAAAAACATGACCTTGTGAATGCCAAAATAAGGGATCGACAGATTATAGTACCGTAAAAATGCATGTGTATAACAAAACTATTAGTATGATTTTAATTTACTGATAAAAAAATCAATATTTACACCAATAAAAACAATATTCAAAGATCTAATTACAGTGTTGAATTGGTAACCTTTTAGAAATCGAACATAAATATCCGGGCTCGGTTACAACAAATTTAGGATGTGCTATTCCGTCTAAAATAAGTTTTTTACAGGTACAGGCAAACTTGCAAACAAAATCTTTGTATCTGTGGAAGAATTTATTAAAGGTTTTAAGTAATTTGTGGTAACGAAATCCCTGACTTAATAATTTAAATTACCAGTAATACATAGTTTACGCTCATTGAAATCCAAAACGTCACTACAGACACGGGCATAACGAACGAGTTGGGATATATAAACACCGTAAGATGGTGCCAGAGGAACATCACCGTCAAAAAAAGGAAAATTAACAATAGGGACAGAAAAAAAATCATCCCTTTTGCCGTAAATTTTTGTGTAGAGTTTCTGGTGTAAAACTGAAATATCTAAATCTAGGAAAGGACACTGATTGCTAATATTTGATTTATTTAAAGTAAGTTGCTGTGGGTAAATTTCGGCAGTATATTTAGAGAATTCTTGATTATTTAACGAAAAAATATCATCAAGATAACGGTAAGTGTGTTGAACTTATCAATTAAATGGAATTTAGACGGGTTTTAGTCAGAGAGGTTTCGAGAGCACAAGGTTTGCAATGAAAATGTGCTTTTTGACATATGCATATACATGTTTATAAATTTATGACTGATAGATTAATAGCTAATCAACTTCCAACGTCAAATTGAATGCATATACAGGACGAGAACACGATGACCTATAACTGCTTTTATGTTCACGTTATTTAAACTCTGTTGGATAGTTGTCTTATTGACTATCATGCCACATCTTATTTTTATAATTTTATGAACCCTGTTCTGAACTAGTCTGACTCGCTGGATCGGAGTTTTAACGTGCTAGTTCACAGGAAGACACATCATCTCATCCGGAGACATTATTCAACTCCGAGCCGAACAGTCTTTGTTCTAACATTAATACATCATTGAATTTTATCAAGTTGTTTCTAAATGCCGCGTGCTCAGAAAAGATACAGCAAATAAAGATTGTCAAGACTTTGGTATGACCCGGTCGTGGATCAAGCCCACTACCTCATGCATTCGAAGCCAGCACTCTACCACGAGGCCACCGAGGCGGTTATATAAATTCATATGATAGGACAATATCAAATAGTGTAAGAACGCGTGATTGCTCTAATGAAGTTTAATTTATAGATATGCAAAAATTATCCAAACAGATTTCCTTCGTTTGAAAAGATTATTCCAATAAAACTGAGAATGGAAATGGGGAATATGTCAAAGAGACAACAACCCGACCAAAGAGCAGATAACAGCCGAAGGCCACCAATGGGTCTTCAACGCAGCGAGAAAATCCCGCACCCGGAGGTGGGCCTCAGCTGGCCTCTAATAAAAATGTGTACTAGTTCAGTGAAAATGGACGTCATACTAAATTCCAAAACATATAAATGAACTAAAATTAAAACAAACATACAAGACTGACAAAGGCCAGAGGCTCCTGACTTGGTACAGGCGCAAAAATGCGGCGGGGTTAAACATGTTTTGTGAGATCTTAACCCTACCCCTATACCTCTAACCAATGTAGAATAAAGAAACACACAGCAATACGAACAGTAAAACACAGTTTAAAAGAAGTCGAGTCCGATGTCAGAATAGGTAACAAAAGAAACTAAGCAAAATGACAATGATACATACATTAACAAAGGACTACTAGCAGTGACTGACATGCCAGCTCCAGACCTCAATTAAACTGATTGAAAGATTATGTCTTAATCATCTGAAAATCAAGCACAATCCCTCCCGTTAGGGGTTTAGAATCATACCTTCATAAAATATGAGAAGAACATAACCCGTATCCAAGTTTTATTTGTGGATTTTAGGGGTTTTTAAGCGAAATAAACACCAAAAAGAAAAGGAAAATTAAATGCATCATTGAATTTTGATGTTTTTGCTTTGAATTAAAGTTAAACAGGTATTAAGTTGTCATTCTGCCCAAATGGTAATAAACTGTCATACATAAATTCGACTGTCCGCATCCCACTGATGATTTATTCCAAATAGAATTTTTCAGAATAAAAGAGTTTTGATAATTTATAACGAGTAGTTTTTATTGTCAATGAATTGAAGAGTAAATCGAATAAAGATTACAGCTTTCATCTCCACTTTAAGTAAAGTATTATTATGTTGATTTTTTGGTTATTAAACAGTTAAATGCAAATAGTTGCGCCATTTTCCTGTATTGTCGATAATGATAAGGTCCAATCAAGTTCAAACACACCTTTAATTACAATTTTACCATAAATTGCAATTGTAAAAGTCGTTTTGTCATCAAAAATACATTGTTTCTATAATCTCATTAGTCACACGGTCCTATCAAGTACGTCATCCAGCCGTTATATAAAAAAGTATCAAAATAAGGATAAGGCATATGAAAAATGACCACGACTGAATCTTTTGATTATTCTATGTTTGTTTTTCATGATATAACTCTGTATCCTGAATATGTAATCAGTATAAAACTGTGGAAATACATACCACCATTCCTACTTCTATTTGGAACTACTGGAAATATTCTCTCAATTATAGTATTACGCAGAAAGAACCTCAAAAAGTCTGTTTGTACCATATACTTCGTTGCTTTAGCCGTCTCCGATCTTCTGGTATTATATACTGGATTATTGAGACAATGGATGTTTATGACTTTCGACATTGATATCCGCCATATTGGAAATACATTTTGTAAGATTCACACGTGGATTCTTTATTTTTCGCTGGACTTTTCAGCATGGATTCAAGTGGCAGTCACAGTAGAGAGGTTATGTGCTGTTTGGTACCCGGTTTCGGGTAAATACAAATGTTCACGACACACTGCTGTTGTGAGTTTAGTATCTATAGCATGCTGTCTTTTAGCAATAAACAGTCATATCGTTTATGGAATCGGGGACTATATAGAAATCATTAACGGCACGGAATCAATTACCAAATGTACTCACACGTCAAAAAGCTACAAGGAGTTTTTCACATCAACATGGCCATGGATTTATTTAATTGTGTTTTTTCTTTTCCCATTTTGCATTTTATTTACCGGAAATCTGTTTATCATTATAAAAGTTGTTCAGCATAAGCGTGCGATTCATCGCCATATTTCACCACTAACAACGCCATCTAGTGTCACGCAGTCCTCGAAACTAGCCTCCATGAGTATTACTCTGTTTACTTTGAACTCAGTGTTTCTTGTTTGCAACATACCAATAAGTATATATTTGATACAGTATGAACATTTGAGGGATACATTAAAAGGGAGAGATAGTGCATTTTTTAACATGATGTGGGCCATTGTCAACATTCTAATGTATTCAAACAATGCTATAAGCTTTGTGTTGTACATATTGAGCGGAACAAAATTTAGGAAGGAGTTTACTGCAATGTTATGTTGTCGAGAATCCCAATGAAAACAGTTTATGTGTTTTAACATTTTTTAAAACATCTAAATGTAGTACGATTTGTCTTAATGTATTTTATTATAGCATAGTGTCTTCTTGTAATTTCATTTGTTGATATATCATACATACCAAGACGTGTTGTTTGTCATATCACTGTCAGCCACCAAGTATTTAAACGGTAATTTTTATTGATTGATTTTTGCTTGCTTAACGTCCAGTTGCAAGTATTTCATGTATATTCAGATCGATAACAAATTAACAATTAATACAACAGATGGTTCTGAAAGGTAGAGCGAACGGGATGAAGGGTGAGGGAAATTTATACTGCTGGTAAATGGAAGAATATTAGATAGCGAAAGACATTTTGCAAAGAAAAGCATTCTTAAAATTCCAGATATCAGACTAAGGTCATTAATGCCTCAGGAAGAAAAACCTTAGTGTTTAGGTTAATTTTAACAATTATTAAAAACTTCATTTAAAATCATGTAAATAAAAATATCAATGATATTGTCCTCGCTTCTATGCTTAGTTCTGGACTGGTGATATCCTATTGGATGAAACGTCCACCACAGTGACAAGTAGATATAAAACAGTCATCGAAGGCACCATGGTTATACTTTTAGATAACCGATTGATATCACATCGTAAATACATCTTTAACGGATTGTGTAGGTTTTTTTTCTTGTTTTTAAAAAGGTATTGTAGTTAATTTGCGTCGTGTGAGAACAAGAACAATCCGAGGTAAATGTAGGTCTAGTTGGGCTGTTAGAAACGGCTTGATTTATGACAAAAGATTTTAACTATGATTGACGTAATATAAATATCAAATCCGGCACCAGAAAAACCTTTAAAATCGTTTTATAAAGATGCGGATCAGAAAGGGGGAAAAGTATTGCAACAATCACACAGCATTGCTACAAGTTGATGGATCATGAAACACTATGTACTTTTGTATTTTTTTTATCCAATGAACATATATTAAGGATCTCCTAGACTTCTTTTAAATTTAAAAAAAAAAATTTTAACAGGATTATCGAATTAAATTCTGTCTACTAATTTTAAAATCATTTCTAATACATGATTTTGTAAAATAAAATCTTATGATTGTTTTGATTGGAATGCTAGAATTTCTTAAGGAAAGCACTTAGCATTACAGCCCCTCCCCAAAAAATGGACACGGACTAGATTCCAGGATAGTTTTGGACACTGACAGAATTCCAAGATAGTTTTGGATACTGATGAGATTACAGGATAGTTTTGGATACTGATGAGATTACAGAATAGTTTTGGATACTGATGAGATTACAGAATAGTTTTAGACACTGACATGATTCCAGGATAATTTTAGATACTGACGAGATCACAGGGTAGTTTTGAACACTGACGTCATTCCAGGGTAGTTTTGGACACTGGCGTGATTCCAGGGTAGTTTTGGACACTGGCGTGATTCCAGGGTAGTTTTGAACACTGGCGTCATTCCAGGGTAGCTTTGGACACTGGCGTGATTCCAGGGTAGTTTTGGACACTGGCGTGTTTCCAGGGTAGTTTTGAACACTGGCGTCATTCCAGGGTAGTTTTGAACACTGGCGTCATTCCAGGGTAGTTTTGGACACTGGCGTCATTCCAGGGTAGTTTTGGACACTGGCATCATTCCAGGGTAGTTTTGGACACTGGCGTCATTCCAGGGTAGTTTTGGACACTGGCGTCATTCCAGGGTAGTTTTGAACACTGGCGTCATTCCAGGGTAGTTTTGGACACTGGCGTCATTCCAGGGTAGTTTTGGACACTGGCGTCATTCCAGGGTAGTTTTGGACACTGGCGTCATTCCAGGGTAGTTTTGGACACTGGCGTGATTCCAGGGTAGTTTTGAACACTGGCGTCATTCCAGGGTAGTTTTGGACACTGGCGTCATTCCAGGGTAGTTTTGAACACTGGCGTCATTCCAGGGTAGTTTTGGACACTGGCGTCATTCCAGGGTAGTTTTGTCCAGTCACATGTTTATGTTCCTATCTCAATTGAGGAACTTCATTAACTGCGGTTGCCTTTGTTTATATGTTTATGCTTTCTCTCCATAAAAGAATGTACATAAAGGATGTTTGGTAGACAATATGTTGAATCTTTTGATTTTCGTGTTGTTTTGGTTGTAACCTCATTGACGAATTGACCGCTTTCATATATCTATCAGAAAAGTGGTTTATTTAGAGTTTGAAATCTAAGGCACAGACCATTCAACTTTTGTGTTTTTTTTTGTGTCATGGGGAGAGGAGCGTGATTTATTTTTCTTAGATTAAAGTTTTTGATTCTAATTTCTTTTGAAAAAATGTTTTAAAAAGGGAAGTGAAAATGTTTAATTGAAAATTAGGGAAAAAACTACATTCAGTTTACACATTTTTTCTTTTCCTGTATGTTATTGAAAAACTTGTTTGTTTGTTATTAGAGTCGAGACAGACAATCCAATGTCCCCAACAAAAAATGTATGGTCGGTGCAAAAAGCATGTATATAAACATAAAAAGATGTGGTTTGATTGTCAATGACACAACTATTCACCAAAGACCACAAGACAAGACTGTTAACAACATGTCTCTATTGTTAAAAAGTACTGGCCATATAATAACCTAAAAATTTCATTTTTGTTCTTTTTGTGTAGCTTAGTTGTTACTCATTGATGTATTTGTACTATATCTACGCTTCAACTGAATAATGGCAAAATGACCTTGTGCAAATAGAAATAACTTTTAAAAATGTCCAATAAATCTTAGCATCATTCATCGCATAAGCATCATGTGTTTAGCATAACAATGTGTAAGGAATATAACATAAAACTCCCCGTCATTCGCGAGCTACAGGTATAATCAGTTGATTCCATATGTACTTGGACAGGACCAATTATTTTAGTCCTTTCCCTTTTTCTAAAATCCGTTATTTTTTTTAATATTGAGATACTATTTTTAATATATACCACATTTGATAAGTGTTTGGTTTGACGGTAAATTTTCATTTCTGTTTTTGTACTATGAACAACAAAATAATCTATTTTGTAAAAAATATTTCCGTACTCCATGTATACCTTACAACAAAATTATTTTTATTTACCTGTGTACGTTATTTTATTTGGCGGTATTTTATCCAAGGTTATGGTTGTCTTTCTGATATTGTTTTACATCTCCCCTCCCCCTTTTTTTTATTGATTTTGTATTAACATTGTGTCATAGGTCAATTTTATTCGTTCAATGTATGTTTACTTGTTTTGTTAATATGTCTTTTGAATGCTTTAAGCCATTTCAATTGATATTTTATAGTGTGTCTTTCTATGTTGTGATGTAACACTATTGTTTCAGGTTAGGATGAAGGTTGGCGCCTATTAAAACGTTTAAACCCGCTGCATTTGTTTGCACCTATCCTAAGTCAGTATCCTGTTGTTCAGTGGTTGTCGTTTGTTGATGTGGTTCATAAGTGTTTCTCGTTTCTCGTTTTTTATATAGATTAGACCGTTGGTTTTCCTGTTTGAATGGTTTTACACTAGTCATTTTTTGGGGCCCTTTATAGCTTGCTGTTCGGTGTGAGCCAAGGCTCCGTGTTGAAGTCCGTACTTTAACCTATCATGGTTTACTTTTACAAATTGTGACTTGGTCATTGTCACTCATACATGTACCACATCTTCTTATATCTATATATTATCAGTGACAGCTGTGGATTGTAAACTAGGAATTGAAAGTAAATAGTAAATACATGTCATTTCTAGTATATTATTGTTAATATATCACAGAAAAACGCGAAAATAATTGAAATTAAAAGAAAATAAATACATAACGGATTTTAGAAAAAGGGAGAGGATTAAAATAAATGGTCCTGTCCCCAAGTACAAAATGTATCTATGGTTGATCCTGGTACTATTTCCGAATCATTTAATAAATTGCAGACGGATATGCGTTGTGCATGTTGTGTAAGAGATTGGTAATGGATTTAGGAACTTACGTACAAGTATTTTCCACTTTATATTATTAATTTTGATTTTTAAGGAGTAAAACGTTTGATTGCCAAATACACTGTACATGTAAAAACAAAAGACAAACGAGCATTTACTTTCTCCTGTTCTATATATCGAGACATGAGGTCACTTTTACTATCAGTATTATACAAATTATACTTAACATGATAATTGAACTTGTCAGCCGCCCGCGATGAGCAAAATATAAATTGTAGGTAATGACATTTCCTGATTAACAAGCAAAAACGGCGTTTAAATGATTAATTACTAAATTTTGTTCGGTTATTTACCTCTTAAAGGAAAACAAACACGCGACAAAAGTCTCTGATTTCCAAATATTTGACAAGAATGTCATAGGACACGCCGGACTGTAAAACTGACGAATATCTGTATTCTTATTATACTTTTACTTTCTTAAGCGGGTGGTATAGGGTGATTGAGATCACTTTAATGGGACCAGTTCGTTCGTCCATTTGTCCGTCAGTCATTCCCTCCGTCTGTTCGTTCATCCATCCTTCCTGTCCAACTTTTATTTGCAACTGCCCCAACATAATTTGTGAACCTTTTACAACTTCTTAAGTACATGTACTGTTCACCTTATATTTCATTTCTCATCTCAATGGCTATGGGGTTTATATCTGCTTCTCCTCTTAAAACTCAATATCAGAATTAAATTAAATTTTCATTGTGCACTTCCAAATTTTTAATTTTCGACCTGAATATTTTTTGGGTTTCCCCTATAAATTTGCCATTACTTATGTAGTGGCAGGGTATTATTTGTGATCTTTGTTTGCAGTTTACATCAGAAGTATCTATTACAATGATTAATACACTGATTGATTGTTGTTAATGTCCAGTGGCAAACATTTTATACATATACAGTACAACAACAATGAATCATTATGTGGATTAAAGTCTATGATTGCTCAGAAGACCTATTTTTAGGACTTTCTAGGCCCCAAAATTTATAAAAAATGCCTCAGGCGTCAGAGCAATCCCGGACTACTGGGACTGTTGCTTTGAAAAGGGTATATTGGATAGGGGCAGAAAGTTTGCGTTGCAACAAAACATCCACTGTTTCCTCAATTGAATTTTTGCAAGGGACCTTTTGTGCGCAGTGAGCACGGCTCTCCTCTCTTTCAGCGTCGGATTCGACGTAGTTTCGTATTCATACAGCAAGCACAGCCTAACAGACGCCTCTCCGATTTGGAGTATTCTAGAAATAAATATGCTGCCTTGGTAAAATCTGAAAACGATAATCTTGAAGAAAGGATGCAAATAAATATGCTGTGGGAAAAAATTGTGTAAAAAGTCGAAAATATTGTTTTTGCAGCGGACAATATATAGAAGCGGACCTAGTAACAGTTGAAAATGTTTTTTCCGACCCCCCTCCTCGAATATAAAAAAAACATGGTGGTCCCCTATTCTTTGAAGGTATTTCCATAAAACTATTTTTTTTTCTAATACGTAATATTATTTTTGAGGATTATAAACCCTAAACTGGGTTTTAAAAGTGTGTCTCATAATGGTCGATATTTCGAATTTGTCCTTAAAGCTGGTAAAATTTCTCAAAATTTACATGAAATAAATACTATTAGATATATGAAGTCTAAAGCCATTCTTATTGTTAGAAATTTCCCATTTCAGTACTAATTACTTTGTAAGAATTAAACTACAGTATAAATATCTGTCTAAAAATTTCATCTTGTTTTTTCATTAAATTTTTAGATATAGAACAAACTATTGACACTTGTGTTGTTTGTTTTTATTTCATTTTTTCATCTTATTGATAGCAAGTAGTTTTCATAATTTTTATTTACCACTGTATAATAATTTAATGTAGATATCTTTTGCTTTTGTGTATCTGTAAATCCGCTTTCATATATATGATTTTTCTTTTGAAGCGCTTTGCCTAAGACTTTTATTATATCGCATTAAAACAAAATTTATGATTATGAATTTGAAAGGTAGTTCACTGTTCACTGTTTAGTCATTGTAAAATTTTGGTATGTTAAAATTTGCTTGTTTATAGCACTGTCATCCATCTAATTGATCTTACTGGTAATCCATTCAAAAAAATAATTCTATCGATCTTTTGTTTGCTCATAATTTGAACTGTTCATCCATAGTTTTTGTAAAAAGTCATTGTACAAGCTTGTATTAACATGACAGTTTACTTCCACAAACACAATAATTGGACACGAGTATGGCTTGTGTCAAATTTGACAGAAAGTACCAACTTTACCATGCTATATAAAGACAACTTTCGCTGGTTTTGAAACAGTAGTCTTCCATTCCAGAATTGGTCAGTAGCTTGCCAGTATATGTAAGTACAGTATCTTTCCATTATGGACTGTTAAGTATTAAGTATGTGTGAGGCATTCACGGTACTTGTTTCTAAATTAGAGACAACAATAGTTTACCGATGTTCAAAATTAATAAATCCATCAAGAATATACTAGTACAAATCAAAGAACACAAAAAATGAGTAAATCACATGAGCTTCAGTAATTTTATTAAAACCGTTTTGAATCTAATGTGAAATTCATGTTAATTTTCATAATAAAGTTATTCAAATAACATCTAAATTTTGAAATTTGATTAAAAACATGAAAAATACCATTTTTTGGGGGGTAAAGTTCAGTGGCGGATCCAGAAATTTTCATAAGGGGGGGGACCCACTGACTTCCTAAGAGGGAGCCCGCTGCAGTCATGCTTCAGTGATTCCCTATATAATCAACCCCTGAAAAACCCTCTAAATCCGCCTCTGAAGTTAATGTGAAATTCACGGTAAAAATTTCACATGAGATTCTCTCAATTCACTTGAAATTCATTTGAAAATTTTTACGCGAGTTTCACGTTTAAGCTCGTTTGAGGTTAATTTCACTTAAGATTCATGTGAAATTCACGTGAGCGAAATTTGCTTGTGTAATTTATCGTTTTTCATTGACTCCTTTTGTTAGTCTTAGATCATCTTTAACATTTTGGTGTGCTCATAAGAACAATCGTGTTTTAACAAACTTTTTGGTGCGTATTTTGTTGTTGAAAACAGTCTGTCCTACCTAGGAGCTGTCTATTTATATTTCCATTTGGTTCTATTTAGACATAAAGTTGATAGATAATTGTAATTTGACAACAGACTGGTTTATCCTCACTTTAATAAATAATGTATTGAATTATTTCCTTAGTATGAATGTTTATTTCACTTTAACAGTAAATGTTTTTGATTTTAGTAACCATGTGACCTTTTTATTATGATTTAAGCAATTGTATTTTTTCAGATAAGATGAGTTGTATTCTGTTTATTCTGTCTCTAGCCATTGTACTAATCAATGGAACGAACTGGGGTGAGTCATATACATTGTACTAATCAATGGAACAAACTGGGGTGAGTCATATACATTGTGCTAATCAATGGAACGAACTGGGGTGAGTCATATACATTGTACTAACCAATGGAACGAACTGGGGTGAGTCATATACATTGTACTAATCAATGGAACGAACTGGGGTGAGTCATATACATTGTACTAATCAATGGAACGAACTGGGGTGAGTCATATACATTGTACTAATCAATGGAACGAACTGGGGTGAGTCATATACATTGTACTAATCAATGGAACAAACTGGGGTGAGTCATATACATTGTGCTAATCAATGGAACGAACTGGGGTGAGTCATATACATTGTACTAACCAATGGAACGAACTGGGGTGAGTCATATACATTGTACTAATCAATGGAACGAACTGGGGTGAGTCATATACATTGTACTAATCAATGGAACGAACTGGGGTGAGTCATATACATTGTACTAATCAATGGAACGAACTGGGGTGAGTCATATACATTGTACTAATCAATGGAACGAACTGGGGTGAGTCATATACATTGTACTAATCAATGGAACGAACTGGGGTGAGTCATATACATTGTACTAATCAATGGGACGAACTGGGGTGAGTCATATACATTGTACTAATCAATGGAACGAACTGGGGTGAGTCATATACATTGTACTAATCAATGGAACGAACTGGGGTGAGTCATATACATTGTACTAATCAATGGAACGAACTGGGGTGAGTCATATACATTGTACTAATCAATGGAACGAACTGGGGTGAGTCATATACATTGTACTAATCAATGGAACGAACTGGGGTGAGTCATATACATTGTACTAATCAATGGAACGAACTGGGGTGAGTCATATACATTGTACTAATCAATGGAACGAACTGGGGTGAGTCATATACATTGTACTAATCAATGGAACGAACTGGGGTGAGTCATATACATTGTACTAATCAATGGAACGAACTGGGGTGAGTCATATACATTGTACTAACCAATGGAACGAACTGGGGTGAGTCATATACATTGTACTAACCAATGGAACGAACTGGGGTGAGTCATATACATTGTACTAATCAATGGAACGAACTGGGGTGAGTCATATACATTGTGCTAACCAATGGAACGAACTGGGGTGAGTCATATACATTGTACTAATCAATGGAACGAACTGGGGTGAGTCATATACATTGTGCTAACCAATGGAACGAACTGGGGTGAGTCATATACATTGTACTAACCAATGGAACGAACTGGGGTGAGTCATATACATTGTACTAATCAATGGAACGAACTGGGGTGAGTCATATACATTGTACTAATCCATGGAACGAACTGGGGTGAGTCATATACATTGTACTAACCAATGGAACGAACTGGGGTGAGTCATATACATTGTACTAATCAATGGAACGAACTGGGGTGAGTCATATACATTGTACTAACCAATGGAACGAACTGGGGTGAGTCATATACATTGTACTAACCAATGGAACGAACTGGGGTGAGTCATATACATTGTACTAACCAATGGAACGAACTGGGGTGAGTCATATACATTGTACTAATCAATGGAACGAACTGGGGTGAGTCATATACATTGTACTAATCAATGGAACGAACTGGGGTGAGTCATATACATTGTGCTAATCAATGGAACGAACTGGGGTGAGTCATATACATTGTACCTATAATGATACAAATCACTCTACTGGTTTCATCAAACTACATGGTCACAGAAAATGCTGCTGGATTTACTGTTTTTTTTTTAAATTCATACACGTTCTGTTATCTCCCTTCTAATACTGATTGTTATAATATTCAATCTTAACTTTTCTAGTCGTCAACACCTCCTTTCTCAATAATTTTCAGTTTTATGTTAAAAAAAACTATCTTTTTTTGGTGACAGCACTAAACAGATTTTCGAAAAGTGATATTTTTTTTATGTCTTGACTACCACTGAAAGTTGTGTGATATTATCTTACTTTATGTAAACAGGCATACAAATGAGGGATGAGGCCAAATTAATTAATATTCTCATTTAAGGATATAGACGTGGAGGTTGGCGAGGAGGGATGATTGGAATTGGTGGTATTGGAGGTGTAAGACGAGTTGGCGGTGGTGGCATTTATGGGGGAGGTATATATGGCGGTCGCGGAATTTATGGTGGAGGTATATATAGCGGTCGCGGAATTAATGGTGGAGGTATATATGGCGGTCGCGGAATTTATGGTGGAGGTATATATGGCGATGATGACAGTTATGGCGGTGGAATATATGGCGGTGGAATTTACGGCGGAGGGATGTACGGTGGAGGTTACGATCCATATAATAGTTATGGGATGGGCAGTGGATACAGAGGTTACGGTCAACAAGGATATGGTAGCGGTGGATATTGGCCGGGTGGATCTAGTGGATACGGCGGATACGGTCAAGGAAGCGGATATTGGCCAGGTGGATCTAGTGGATACGGCGGATACGGTCAAGGAAGCGGATATTGGCCAGGTGGATCTAGTGGATATGGCGGATACGGTCAAGGAAGCGGATATTGGCCAGGCGGATCTGGCGGTCGTGGTCAATATGGTAAATATGGCAAAAAGAGTAAGTAAAATGAAAAACAACATATTAGCGTAGTTCGTCATAGGTGTGGACAGAATTTCATTAGCACTGTCAGAATGCATGGATATGAAATATATTGGGGAAAAACTTATAGTAACCAACCAAGCAGTATACAACATAAAACAAATAAACGAAAACCACAAAAATATCCGTGCAATTTTTATAATGAAATCCATACAACGATTTACCGGACAACATACAAGTTAGCATTTAATTGAAAAATATGATAACTTATTTATGAAAATTCATTTCGACTTCTACCTTTTACAAGGTCTTAATTTTAGACGTTACTATTGTAATATATACAAGGAAAGGATGCTAGATACACTTACTGGAAATGTGAAGATATGATTGAATCTTTAAATTTTCTCCTGGACAACATATATATGTACGTTTCGTCGATAAAGAGTATCGCCAGGTAGTAGGTATTCCTATGGGCACTTATTGCGCCCCTTTAATAGCAGATTTATTCCTGTATTGCTATGAATCTCAGTTTATGACCAAACTCAGTAAAGACACGTCATTGTTACATTTGGTTGACACATTCAACAATACCTACCATTATCTTGATGATATTTTTTCGTTAAATAATCCAGAGTTCTCTAAATATACTACCGAAATTTACCCAAAGGAACTTACTTAAAATAAATCTCACATAAACAGCAGTAGTTGTCCTTTTCTAGATTTATACATTTCAATTTCTAAAGGGAAACTCCATACTAAAATATACGACAAAAGATACGATTTTTCATTCCTTATTGTTAATTTTCCTTTTTTAGACGGCGATGTTCCTTTGGCTCCATCATACGTTGTTTATATACCCCAACTCGTTCGTTATGCCCGTGTGTGTAGTGATGTCATAGGTTTTAACGAACGTAATCAATGCATCACTGATAAATTATTAAGTCAGGGATTTCGTTACTTTAAATTACTTAAAACTTTTACTAGAATCTTTCATAGATACAAAGTTTTGATTAATAAATTTTGGCTGTACCCGTAGAAATCTTATTAAAAACGGTATTTCACATCCTAAATTTTACGGTAATATTGTACTAAAAGCGCGGAAATTACTATGCGATCCGTGTAAACTCATCGAACCTTTAAACAAACTTATTAGTAAAGGTTATCTTATTAATGTTGTAATAAGATCTTTGAATATTGTTTACCTTGGCATAAATATCGATTTTGTCATCAACAAATTAAAACATAACTAAATTTGTATTCTTTTCGAATGTTTTTTTGGATGTATAAATACACATCCACGTCCATTTTCTATATAGAGATGGCTTTATCTAAATATAACTATATGCATATTTATTATAAGGTTAAATCCAAACTATCATACTACCTGTCGATACTTTTATTTTGGCATTGCACAAGTCATGTCTTCTTTGACTGTCCATGGCGTTAAAACACTAAATCCCTGGGGTGTGTTTTAGTTGATTTTAGTCTCTGATGCATGATTTTTTATTATTAATTGTTTTTGGCTTTTAACTAGCTTTTAGTAACTACGAGTACTCTCAAATCGTACTTTCGTGTTAATTTGACCTGTTACACAATTTGTAATGCATTTTTGTTATTCAATGTTTACTTATTTTGTGTTATATCTCGTCTCACTATTTTTAATATGTACCACATTTATTAAGTATTTAGTATGACGATAAATTTTCACTGCTGTTCTCGTACTATGAACAACAAATTTATTTATCTATTTTGTAATAAATATCTCCGTACTCCTATCAACAAAATTATTATATTTAAATTTACCTGTGTACGTTATTTTATTTAACGCCATTTTGTCCAAGGTTATAGTTGTCTTTTTGACATTGTGTCAAAGATCAAATTTATTCGTTCAGTGTATGTTTACCTGTTTTTGTTAATATGTCTTTTTGATTGAGTTAAACCATTTCAATTGATATTTTATAGTGTGTCTTTCTATGTTGTAATGTTAAACTACTATTTCAGGTTAGGGTGAAGGTTGGCGCCTGTTAAAACGTTTAAACCCGCTGCATTTGTTTGCACCTGTACTAAGTCAGGAACCTGTTTCAGTGATTGTCGTTTGTTGATGTTGTTCTTAAGTTTTTCTCGTTTCTCGTTTTTTTATATAGATTAGACCGTTGATTTTCCTATTTGAATTGTTTTACACTAGTCATTTTGGGGCCCTTCATAGCTTGCTGTTCGGTGTGAGCCAAGGCTCCGTGTTGAAGGCCGTACTTTGACCTATAATTGTTTACCTTTTACACATTGTGACTTGGATGGAGAGTTGTCTCATTGGCACTCATACCACATCTTCTTATTTCTACTTAAATGAATAAATAACTATAGTCTTCAATAATATACCGTTATTCACTTTTAATCGGCTTTTATTTGTGTGTTTTTTCGGGTCAAACTTTTTTTTTTTGTAAAAGTGAAGTTTTGTGATATATAAAACTAATTCGATTTGCCATTTGTTTTTACAGGGTCATACTGAGATTAGCCAATACCAAAGAAGAAGGATAGACGCCTTTAATGTGAATTCCAACATATGAAGAACAATATAAACTTTTATTTCATTCATTTTTTTAACAATTTTAGTCAATTACAGTGTATTTAAAGCATAACTATTTCTGTGTTTATTTTCTATTCCAATCCACCTTATTTATCATCCAGCATTGAACTTCAGATTCGAAAAAAAACTATCGGCAGGAAAATCTCCAGTAAAAGGTGAATGAATGGCCAAGCAACTGTAAACCAGAGGTAATTTGGGTCGAGGTCAGATTTAACAAGAAGAAAAATTCTACATTTTAGTCTCGTCTGTGTGGTGTTTATATGTTTTGGGGTCAATTAAAATTTAAAGACCAGAGACTCTTTTTATACACAATGGCAATCTTTAATGGCAAACTAAAAGGGATGTAGATAGTATTTCATTTGACAGCAGTCACACTATACATCAAACAAACAACAGACAACAGAGATATCTATGGGTCAACATTGATCTGCAACAAAAGAAGTCTTCAACTCTTATTTAAAGCTGTACGTTATATTTACGGTACAATTTAGGAGTTGCAGGTGATTTACAATGCAGGGGTGCGGAAATATTCGGCTCTCGCATGCGAAAAATTACCAACAGAACATTTATTTAAATAAATCAAGCAGAAAAGTAAAAAATCTGCCATCAACTCGAATTTCCTTACAGAACAAAAAACATAACGATATAAATTACAGAATGATAAGGTTTACTGATGACTAGAGACTGACACTTCATGAACTAGTAAATGCATATGCCATGCGTCCGAAGCGCTTTTCTGGATTTACCGTCACCAGGAACGCTCAAAGCCAAATATTTGAAAGCCAACTAGTATTTTTCAGACTTAACCTTCCTTATTCTAATCTCGTTCAATGGAATATCATATAACAAACATTTGGTTTTCCCAAATGGTACAAATATTGGAAAAATCAAGTCTGGGAAGATATGACACAGAAATTTATGAGAAAATCCCGCTCAGAACAATTATATCGATCTATTATTGCATATGGGTGGAATCATATATTCTGTAAACGTCAAAGAGGCAGCAACTCGACAACAATTCGGCACACAAAAAAAAACCAAAGACATCCAGAGGTCAACATAAAATTTTAAACAATAGATTAGTGTATTGGTCATCCCGATTCTGAAAAATTGAAATTGAATGAATGAAAAAAATAACTATTGAAAATCTCCCATAAACACCAAATGGTCCAGGTAAGACAATCAGAGACTAGGAATAGACACATGCATACATGGTGGAGTTGAACTATTTTTTTTTTCAACAAAATGTGATAACAAAGATGATAGTTTTATTAACAGTCGTAGTGGTAAGGCGGCACACCTGGGACTCATTTGTTGACGTTTCTATCTTTATTATTTGTATTGTTAAAATGGTTTTAACTGCATTATAGGTAGACAGTCGTATAGAATAAGCGTCTTTTTAAAAATATGATTGACAAATTCTACAAGCCAAATTTTCCTAGAGCATAGGACATGAAATACAATGTTCTACGCAAAATGATCGTCAATAGAACGCGAAGGTGACCTCTTGTGATGAATAAAAAGGATAACAGGAATGATGATGACCTTTACATATTGAGAACATTAAAACATGCGTCAGTCTACAACACCGTCAGTGTAAATGTTAACAAGTCTGTGACCTATAATCATACTTGAATTGGTGAAGTTCTAGATAATCACATTTCATTAGGTACTATAGTGTATGATCCGCCAACATTGTAAAGGTAAGGATTACCGATAATATAAAAAATAAAAAGATAAAATTGCACACATTTCTTATAATTCAATTCGTGTAAATTGCATTTGAGCATGCTTTTTGTAGATTTCCTCTTGTTACAATTCCATTACGTAATTTTCAAGTGGCAGTCGGAATTTATGCCTTCATCCCCGTCTACCCATTTTTCAGAACCTATTTGTTATCTTTATTTTAATTTGCTCTTGATTTGATATGAATATTTATGAAATATTTGTCACTGGATGTTAAGCAAACAACAATCGACGTTACTCGATGTGTTACAATGTGTCCATATGCTGGGTACTTCTCCAGTATTGTACGACTGTGGAATGGGTGATTTTTCAGTGGAAAGATCTATCAAAATTCTAGGTATTATATTGACTGGCCCAGCTGCTTTATGTACGTTTAAGTTGTTTAGTAGTTTGTTGACTCCATTTTCATTGAAATTTATGTCAGGCATAGTTGGAAAATTTCCTGTCATCTTGCAATTGTATTTGAATTCCTTTTTGCGTTACAGTAAGCACGTCGAAGTTCTTGTTGTGTCTCTTGTTTAAGCTGTTTGCACTTTACCGAATCATCATGTTTCCAAGATTTCTTTTTTCGTTTGTACCACCTATCTCTGTTCAATTCTTCGCTATGGCCACTGTTAATTGTTCGGCTTTCCGTTGTGTGTTGAAATAAAAAAATGCCCTCTGTTTATGTATTAATCTTTTATGTTCAACGTCCATCTCTATTGCTGAATAGAGCGTTGGCCCTGTCGTGGGATCAATCGCAGATCGGTTTAAACCAAAGACTTTAAAAGAGGTTATGCCAATTCATGTATTTACCACTAGGGTCATTTTCAAAAAGTCTTTCAATCTTTATCTAAATTCAAAGTATCCCACTCAATATGTGTACTTCAAGGCTCAAACAATTTTATGAATTATTTCTAAACAGATCATAAAACGATAAGCTCCTGAAGGTAGCCAAAATTATCACAAACATGTACAAAAATGACATAGTTAACCAACACCAAAACTCTGTTGGCTGTAAGGCTGTGTATCCTCTAACTCTGTTGGCTGTAAGGCTGTGTATCCTCTTTCTCTGCTGGCTGTAAGGCTGTGTATCCTCTAACTCTGTTGGCTGTAAGGGTGTGTCTCCTCTAACTCTGTTGGCTGTAAGGCTGTTTATCCTCTAACTCTGTTGGCTGTTAGGCTGTGTATCCTCTTTCTCTGTTGGCTGTAAGGCTGTGTATCCTCTTTCTCTGTTGGTTGTAAGGCTGTGTATCCTCTAACTCTGTTGGCTGTAAGAGTGTGTCTCCTATAATCCTCTAACTCTGTTGGCTATAAGGCTGTGTATCCTCTTTCTCTGTTGGCTGTAAGGCTGTGTATCCTCTTTCTCTGTTGGCTGTAAGGCTGTGTATCCTCTAACTCTGTTGGCTGTAAGGCTGTGAATCCTCTTTCTCTGTTGCATGTAAGGCTGTGTATCTTCTAACTCTGTTGGCTGTAGGGCTGTGTATCCTCTAACTCTGTTGGCTGTAAGGCTGTGTATCCTCTTTCTCTGTAGGCTGTAAGGCTGTGTATCCTCTAACTCTGTTGGCTGTAAGGCTGTGTATCCTCTTTCTCTGTTGGCTGATAGGCTGTGTATCCTCTAACTCTGTTGTCTGTAAGGCTGTGTATCCTCTAACTCTGTTGGCTGTAAGGCTGTGTATCCTCTAACTCTGTTGGCTGTAAGGCTGTGTATCCTCTAACTCTGTTGGCTGTAAGGCTGTGTATCCTCTAACTCTGTTGACTGTAAGGCTGTGTATCCTCTAACTCTGTTGGCTGTAAGGCTTTGTATCCTCTTTCTCTGTTGGGTGTAAGGCTGTGTATCCTCTAACTCTGTTAGCTGATAGGCTGTGTATCCTCAAACTCTGTTGGCTGTAAGGCTGTGTATCCTCATTCTCTGTTGGCTGTAAGGCTGTGTATCCTCTTTCTCTGTTGGCTGTAAGGCTGTGTATCCTCTAACTCTGTTGGCTGTAAGGCTGTGAATCCTCTTTCTCTGTTGCATGTAAGGCTGTGTATCTTCTAACTCTGTTGGCTGTAGGGCTGTGTATCCTCTAACTCTGTTGGCTGTAAGGCTATGTATCCTCTTTCTCTGTAGGCTGTAAGGCTGTGTATCCTCTAACTCTGTTGGCTGTAAGGCTGTGTATCCTCTTTCTCTGTTGACTGATAGGCTGTGTATCCTCTAACTCTGTTGGCTGTAAGGCTGTGTATCCTCTAACTCTGTTGCCTGTAAGGCTGTGTATCCTCTAACTCTATTGGCTGTAAGGCTGTGTATCCTCTTCCTCTGTTGGCTGTAAGGCTGTGTATCCTCTAACTCTGTTGACTGTAAGGCTGTGTATCCTCTAACTCTGTTGGCTGTAAGGCTTTGTATCCTCTTTCTCTGTTGGGTGTAAGGCTGTGTATCCTCTAACTCTGTTAGCTGATAGGCTGTGTATCCTCAAACTATGTTGGCTGTAAGGCTGTGTATCCTCATTCTCTGTTGGCTGTAAGGCTGTGTATCCTCTTTCTCTGTTGGCTGTAAGGCTGTGTATCCTCTAACTCTGTTTGGCTGTAAGGCTGTGTATCCTCTTACTCTGTTGGGTGTAAGGCTGTGTATCCTCTAACTCTGTTGGCTGTAAGGCTGTGTATCCTCTAACTCTGTTGACTGTAAGGCTGTGTATCCTCTAACTCTGTTGGCTGTAAGGCTGTGTATCCTCTAACTCTGTTGGCTGTAAGGCTGTGTATCCTCTAACTCTGTTGACTGTAAGGCTGTGTATCCTCTAACTCTGTTGGCTGTAAGGCTTTGTATCCTCTTTCTCTGTTGGGTGTAAGGCTGTGTATCCTCTAACTCTGTTAGCTGATAGGCTGTGTATCCTCAAACTCTGTTGGCTGTAAGGCTGTGTATCCTCATTCTCTGTTGGCTGTAAGGCTGTGTATCCTCTTTCTCTGTTGGCTGTAAGGCTGTGTATCCTCTAACTCTGTTGGCTGTAAGGCTGTGAATCCTCTTTCTCTGTTGCATGTAAGGCTGTGTATCTTCTAACTCTGTTGGCTGTAGGGCTGTGTATCCTCTAACTCTGTTGGCTGTAAGGCTATGTATCCTCTTTCTCTGTAGGCTGTAAGGCTGTGTATCCTCTAACTCTGTTGGCTGTAAGGCTGTGTATCCTCTTTCTCTGTTGGCTGATAGGCTGTGTATCCTCTAACTCTGTTGGCTGTAAGGCTGTGTATCCTCTAACTCTGTTGCCTGTAAGGCTGTGTATCCTCTAACTCTATTGGCTGTAAGGCTGTGTATCCTCTTCCTCTGTTGGCTGTAAGGCTGTGTATCCTCTAACTCTGTTGACTGTAAGGCTGTGTATCCTCTAACTCTGTTGGCTGTAAGGCTTTGTATCCTCTTTCTCTGTTGGGTGTAAGGCTGTGTATCCTCTAACTCTGTTAGCTGATAGGCTGTATATCCTCAAACTATGTTGGCTGTAAGGCTGTGTATCCTCATTCTCTGTTGGCTGTAAGGCTGTGTATCCTCTTTCTCTGTTGGCTGTAAGGCTGTGTATCCTCTAACTCTGTTGGCTGTAAGGCTGTGTATCCTCTTACTCTGTTGGGTGTAAGACTGTGTGTCCTCTAACTCTGTTGGGTGTAAGGCTGTGTATCCTCTAACTCTGTTGGGTGTAAGGCTTTGTATCCTCTTTCTCTGTTGGGTGTAAGGCTGTGTATCCTCTTTCTCTGTTGGCTGATAGGCTGTGTATCCTCTAACTCTGTTGGCTGTAAGGCTGTGTATCCTCTAACTCTGTTGGCTGTAAGGCTGTGTATCCTCTTTCTCTGTTGGCTGTAAGGCTGTGTATCCTCTAAATCTGTTGGCTGTAAGGCTATGTATCCTCTAACTCTGTTGGGTGTAAGACTGTGTGTCCTCTAACTCTGTTGGGTGTAAGGCTGTGTATCCTCTAACTCTGTTGGGGGTAAGGCTGTGTATCCTCTAACTCTGTTAGCTGTAAGGCTGTGTATCCTCTAATTCTGTTGGCTATTAGGCTGTGTATCCTCTAACTCTGTTGGCTGTAAGGTAAGGCTGTGTAATCTCTAACTCTGTTGGGTGTAAGGCTGTGTATCCTCTTACTCTGTTGGGTGTAAGGGTGTGTATCCTCTAACTCTGTTGGCTGTAAGGCTGTGTATCCTCGTTCTCTGTTGGTTGTAAGGCTGTGTATCCTCTAACGCTGTAATCTGTAAGGTTGTGTATCATCTAACTCTGTTTGGTGTAAGGCTTTGTATCCTCTTTCTGTGTTGGGTGTAAGGCTGTGTATCCTCTTTCTCTGTTGGCTGATAGGCTGTGTATCCTCTAACTCTGTTGTCTGTAAGGCTGTGTATCCTCTAACTCTGTTGGCTGTAAGAATGTGTATCCTCTAACTCTGTTGGCTGTAAGGCTGTGTATCCTCTAACTCTGTTGGCTGTAAGGCTGTGTATCCTCTAATTCTGTTGGCTGTAAGGCTGTGTACCCTCTTACTCTGTTGGCTGTAAGGCTGTGTATCCTCTATCTCTGTTGGCTGTAAGGCTGTGTATCCTCTAACTCTGTTGACTGTAAGGCTGTGTATCCTCTTTCTCTGTTGGGTGTAAGGCTGTGTATCCTCTTTCTCTGTTGGGTGTAAGGCTGTGTATCCTCTAACTCTGTTGGGTGTAAGGCTGTGTATCCTCTAACTCTGTTGGGTGTAAGGCTGTGAATCCTCTTTCTCTGTTTGCTGTAAGGCAGTGTATCCTCTAACTCTGTTGCCTGTAAGGCTGTGTATCCTCTTATCTGTTGGCTGTAAGGCTGTGTATCTTCTAACTCTGTTGGCTGTAAGGCTGTGTATTCTCTAACTCTGTTGGCTATAAGGCTGTGTATCCTCTAACTTTGTTGGTTGTAAGGCTGTGTATCCTCTAACTCTGTTGGCTGTAAGGCTGTGTATCCTTTAACTCTGTTGGCTGTAAGGCTGTGTATCCTCTAACTGTGTTGGCTGTAAGGCTGTGTATCCTCTTTCTCTGTTGGCTGTAAGGCTGTGTATCCTCTTTCTCTGTCGGCTGTAAGGCTGTGTATCCTCTTTCTCTGTTGGTTGTAAGGCTGTGTATCCTCTAACTCTGTTGGCTAGAAGGCTGAGTATCCTCTAACTCTGTTGGCTGTAAGGCTGTGTATCCTCTAACTCTGTTGGCTGTAAGGCTGTGTATCCTCTAACTCTGTTGGCTGTAAGGCTATGTATCCTCTAACTCTGTTGGCTGTAAGGCTGTATTTCCTCTAACTCTGTTGGCTGTAAGGCTGTGTTTCCTCTTTCTCCGTTGGATGTAAGGCTGTGTATCCTCTTTCTCGTGAACATTAATTAATTTCGGTAAACATCGTCCTTTTTTTAAAAATTGAACAAAAACACGTAAAATTTGCAATTTTTGCATCTAAATGCCTTCAATAGCAACATGTAACACTGAAGATCATTTTTAGTAAATGGAAATGATAAAATGGTTAAAAAATATTTTGAGTATATAAAAAGACCGTCTGATATTCAATTTCCAGTAGAATTGACAACATTTAGATTTTTGACCATGTGAGCGAAACAAATACACTCGATATTGTCCCTACCTCTTTGTATACGCTGCTACAAATACAGTGGATATTGTCCCTACCTCTTTGTATACGCTGCTACAAATACAGTGGATATTGTCCCTACCTCTTTGTACACGCTGCTACAAATACAGTGGATATTGGCCCTACCTCTTTGTATACGCTGCTACTAATACAGTAGATATTGTCCCTACATCTTTGTATACGCTGCTACAAATACAATCGATATTGTCCCTACCTCTTTGTATACGCTGCTACAAATACAGTGGATATTGTCCCTACCTCTTTGTATACGCTGCTACAAATACAGTGGATATTGTCCCTACCTCTTTGTACACGCTGCTACAAATACAGTGGATATTGGCCCTACCTCTTTGTATACGCTGCTACAAATACAGTAGATATTGTCCCTACCTCTTTGTATACGCTGCTACAAATACAATCGATATTGTCCCTACCTCTTTGTATACGCTGCTACAAATACAGTGGATATTGTCCCTACCTCTTTGTATACGCTGCTACAAATACAGTGGATATTGTCCCTACCTCTTTGTATACGCTGCTACAAATACAGTGAATATTGTCCCTACCTCTTTGTATACGCTGCTACAAATACAGTGAATATTGTCCCTACCTCTTTGTATACGCTGCTACAAATACTGCTTTTAGTCAGAACTTATTAAGGTGGTATACAAGAATATGTACGGCAATCCAAGATTGTATGACAAAATTTCCTCCCAAATTCTTCACCCTTGTGCAATTTAAAAAAACGCAAATTACTGGTAAATTATTTAGCCAGGGATTTCGTTACCACAAATTACTTAAAACCTTTACTAAATTCTTCCACAGATATAAAGATTTGGTTTTGAAGTTTGGTTGTACCTGTAGAAAACTTATTTCAAACGAGATTGCACATCCTCATTTTTACGGCAATATTGTTAACCGTGCCCGGAAATTTAGAAACGATCCTGGTAAACTTATCGATCCTTTAAATAAACTTATTCTAAAAGGTTACCAATTCAACACTGTAATTAGATCATTAAATATTGTTTTTATTGGTACTAATATTGATTTTCTTATCAGTAAATTAAAAGCAAACTAAATATTATTGTTATATACATATACACATTCATGGATCTACAATCTGTCGATACCTGTATCTTGGCATTGCACAAGGTATGTTTTTCTCTGACTGTTTATGACGTCTTTACACTAAATCCATTGGATGTTGGATGTGTACGGATTGATAATTTAGTCTTAGATGCATGATTTTTTATTAGTTGTTAGTGGCTTTGAACTAGCTGTCAGTAACTGCGAGGACTCTCAGATCTGTACTTAGTGTCTTTTTGTTGTTTGGATGTACAAGTACCCGGCCACGTCCACTTGTATTTGTAGTATTTGTATTTTTATCCATCTGATGAGTTAAGCCTCTTTCAACTGATTTTTATAGTTCGTTCTTATGTTGTACTGTTACACCACTGTCCCAGGTTAGGGGGAGGGTTGGGATCCCGCTAACATGTTTAACCCCGCCACATTCTGTATGTATGTGCCTGTCCAAAGTCAGGAGCCTGTGATTCAGTGGTTGTCGTTTGTTTATGTGTTACATATTTGTTTTTCGTTCATTTTTTGTACATAAATTAGGCCGTTAGTTTTCTCGTTTGAATTGTTTTACATTGTCATTTCGGAGCCTTTTATAGCTGACTGTGCGGTATGGGCTTTGCTCATTGTGGAAGGCCGTACGGTGACCTATAGTTGTTAATTTCTGGGTCATTTGGTCTCTTGTGGAGAGTTGTCTCATTGGCAATCATACCACATCTTCTTTTTTTTATAAATATGATGTTTTCAAAATATTTCAGATATAAGCAACCTTACAGCTCAGCAAGATATGAAATGGCAGTTTGTGTTCTCCTATTTACCATTACGATACTTTACAATTCAAAATTGTGCGATGGTGATATGCTGACTGGGCTAGGGAATAACCTGTTCGGCCGAAAATGTTCGTATTTTTGGAGATTTTCAAATACATCAGTTCCAACTAACACTTTAATGAAAGTTATACAGAAAGATGGAAATGTTTGTACAGCAGTGCAATTAAATTTTATCAGTCGACATGGCGCTCGTATGCCTACACTAAACGACTATGCCAGTTTTGATCAGCTGAAGAAGAAAATAGTCGACCATTCAGGAAATCAGATTTACTCATTTTTAAAAGACTGGAAAAATTATCCTCCAAATACCCACGATCACGTTGATGATCTTGGTCGTTGGGAATCTCATTATTTAGGTAATTTATATGGAAGCGGTCTCTTCGATCTTTTACATGGAAATATCTCTCCAACAACTATAAGGCTCACTGGAACTAAGATACTTAGAACTAGAACTAGCGCTAGCGAATTTTATAAATCTCTATCTGAGCGTGTATCCGGAAAAGCATTGACGGATATCCAACCAGGCGTTAATAACACCATATTACGTTACTGGGACGACTGCCCTAACTTCGACTTAACTATCAAAAATAATAAAACACAATTGCAGCAACAGTATGCTTTCCAGAATTCTTCATACTTCCTGAATGTGACGAAATCTGTGACAGCAAGACTTGGTCTAAACACAACACTTACGCCAGGTATGTATCGATGATCTTGTTGTGGACATTTGTTTTTTAAAATGACCTCAAGTAATAGTGTAGTATTTCACTGGCTCAAAATATTTTAATTTAGTCAAGTAGTAATGTGTATTTCCTTCTCTGTCGTCCGTTAGGTCTCAAATTTCTCGTTGAAGTATTGCTCTATTGGTAACACATTTCTCTATATAAATGTAATTCTATATTGGAACGAAAATGGATCAAAATATTTTGGTTTTCAACAATGTCTTCATGGCAGTCTGCATTGAAACAACATGTTCCATATCAACATGGAAATATCAAACTTATCTTCCTCACATAAGTAATGTGCTCATCTTAATTCTTGAAAATAAGGAGTATTGAAATTATCAGAATTCTGTTCTTTAGAGGACACATATATAATGTTGCACGTTCGTTCTTTCCGTATTTAGAATATAAAAGGATGTTGAAATTCATATATAATTTTTCACAAGGACCCCTACCAGGTGAGTTTTAAATTCTATAGAATGCATTATAAATCTATATAATTTATTGTAAAATGTATACAAATTATCTGTCCTGGTAAAGCAATAAATGGAGAAAAAATACCTATTCCTTTCATCTGTACCCATATTGCAACTAATTGGAAAAATAAACATGGATAGCATGAAGTGTATCTCAAAATATGGATTTTCCATGATTTTTATATGGCTCACTACTCAAACAGTCGCCGTACCTTATCTTTGCATAAAGAAGATGTTGTATATACATCGGTAAGACGGCATCAAAAACCCTCAAATAACCAAACGACATATAGAGAACAACATACAATCTTAAACTACAGGATTTCAAGAAGCAAAACGAGTTGCTTTACCTTTCCCTTTTTGTAAAAAATGCCATTTATTTGCAGATGATGTGAAGACAATGTTTATAATTTGTGCTACTGACCTGGCTGTTCGGAATAATACAGACTGGTGTAGCTTACAAACAGAAACAGAAAAGAAAATAATCAACTACGAAAGTGATTTAAAGGTACCATACTTCATTTAGATTGATTGATTGATTGGTTATTGCTTTACGCCGCATCATCACAAAAAGGCTATATCGCGCCGATCTTCATTTAGAAATGAGCGGTCGTATTAGTGTCAAAAAAAACCGATGAACTGCAATCTCTTTTCCACCAGTTACCTTAAAAATAGATATAACTCAAACACATGTCCATGTTATCTTGTGCCGTAGATTGACTCCTTTTGTTCAAACAGATACCTAAATTAGATTTCTTTATTTTAGAGTTATTACTCGTCATTTTATGGTCATTCTATGATACAAAAACTTACCTGTCCTCTATGGGAAGATTTATTCGGCTCTTTAGAAAACGCTATAAACAAGCGTAAGTCGGGACAATCGTAAGTATTCATAAAACTATTTTTTGTAAAGTGTGTTTCATGCGTTATTTAAGTGCTCTATAATTCAGATTGATTACTTACAAAAGATTTTGCACATGTTTCTCGTATGTGAATTCAACCTTACAAATCCATTTTATGATATTTAATAATTGTGACAAACAAAACAAAAAAGTACAGGAGAAAGGAAAATCGTGACTGCTTGCCAAATATTGAGTTTCATTCCCTGAAGGAACCATCAGGCCAGTTGCTAGTGCTTCGGTATTACCAAGTTTATAGGAGTCGTTTTGTTTGAAAATGTTCATAAAATAAAATAAAATTTAATTATTGTGCTTAAACCAAGGTTGCAACTCTATTGGGCAAAGTTGAAGATAGACGGTTTCCTCTAACGTTTTATAAACTTTTGGTCACATGCCAGCGTCACTGACAAAGTTTTTACAATGCACAAATGTATTGTGCACGGAAATTAAATCATTTGCTTTTATTACCCCTGGGTCGGTAACAGTGTAAAGGAACCAGTAGTCCCTAAGGGTACCATTTGCCAAGTAGACAGTTCTTCGGTAGGAATGATTTAAGTGATACCTTTCCAAAAATTAGGTCAATAAAACCAGTGATTAGTCTAATTCGGTAAGTCACATTCGAGTAAAAGAGGACGGCATTGTGGTTAAGACAATTGGAACATATATTTCGTCATCTGTGAAAGAGATATTCCATAACGGTCAACCAACTCGTGATGGTGTCCGTTACATTTTTAAAGGGATAATTTCAACTTCAACACTCGCAACTCTTGGTTCAATAGCTTCCTTTCTAGTGATGGTTATTTGGAAGAATGTGTTTTGCTCACACGAAAACCATATCTTTTGGATTGTTAACAACCAGTCTGAGATTAAATAGTAATAGTCAAAAAAAAAAAAAATATTCTGGAAAATAAAAATGTCGGATGAATACATGGCTTTACATGTCATCTAATTTTATTTCGCGAAAACAAAACTATCTGCCATAATGATTTTTAGTAAAAAAAAATCTCATTTTGAAATTTAATGTTTTATAGATCTTTAAACAATTTGGAAATCTAAAAGAAACACCTTTTCTTTGTACGTGTTAAAAAAAAACAACAAAAAGACGCTAGGAGATTAAATTTCAAACTGGGAATCCATTAAAAAATTGCTTATGAAAATTTTGTAAGCGCTTGCCGGTATGCAAAATAATTTAGAAAAATATTAATTAAAACATCACATACATGTATGTTGATCACCAAAGCGACCAGACATATATAACTTAATTAAAAAAAAAACATTCAAACAACAAACAAACACTGAAGACATGACAAACAACATTGTGAATTAAATTTTTGTAGACAGATTTTCTATAAAACCTAAATGTGATTAACATTAAGTTGTTAACATATTTTAAGCTTCGTTTTCGCTTTGTATTTTGTTTACACTTTCATATTTATGTTGTTTTTTTTTAATTGTGCAGAACTTTTGCGACATTCTAATAAGATTGAGTTGTGTAAATGAATTGTAATATATTTTATGTCAGGTTCCTATCTTGAATTACTATTAGGTCATGCTGTGTTTGTTTTTATACCAACAGGTATGTGCTTGCAGATCTACGATTTGGCCATGCTGATACCATCGACATGTTTTATTCAGCTCTCGGACTTTTTCATGATGACAGGCCCCTCCGATCTGATAACTTTGAAATGATGGAAAATAGAATGTTTTATGAAAGTAAAGTGGCACCATGGTCGTCACACCTTGCATTTGTTCTTTATAACTGTGGTAGACTAGGGTCAGAAAATTACTTTCTGAAACTTATAATAAACGGTCAGTCTGTAACAATTCCTGGATGTGACGGTGATTTTTGTGCATATAATTACGTCAAAGCTAAATATAGAAGCTATATTGAGAAGTGTAAATGGGAGGAAATATGCAAGATAAAAACAACGGCATCAGAAGTCGTAGGATAAACTTTTTGGAATTTTTAAAACTTCTGATGGGTACAAAATGTCCTACCTACCTACCTAGTTTTTAAAACGTTGGGTTGTAGAAAAGAAAGTTTGGCTTGATTTATTTAATTTAAAAAAGAAAAGAAAACACAGGGTTAGATAATTATGATCTTGTAATTGACGGGTATATGAATACAGTGTGTAATTTGAAATTTTGAAAATTAACGATAGTTTTTATAAATTATTTTATTGTAATTTCATCTATGGACCATACTTTAATAATTTTTCCATTAGATTGTCTTTATTTATTATTTATAATACTACAGGAACGAATTTGCCGGATTTCCAGGAAAACTCGTGGCTCAAACTGAAAAAGATATAGTTTAAATTGTTCTCGCTTTAGCAGATAAACTCTAAGATGCATAACCTTTTTTTTTAACTATGCATCCCAGTTTAGATTGCTGATAAAAAATGTTAATGATTTGAAATTAGATTTTGTCGATCATTTAGTAGGCCCAGCAATATAAAATGTTTGAAAGGACATCTGTGTAATTATGGTTTCCAGTACAGTAAAGGACGAGTCAGTCCTTCATCTTTTGTTGAAATTCCAAAGGAATATAGCACAGACCAATGATTGTTCAGGATTTCTTCTTTTGTAAGATATATGCTGGGTTTGGTTTTTCACATGAAATGTCAATAGTAAATTCCTTTTACAGTTTATGTAATGTGATTACAAACAAAAACGATGATGTTGGCGGCTTTGTCTATCTTACCATATTTCTCTCCATTTCTTTCCATTTTATGGATTTCGGTCATAATAAAAACTGAATAAGGAACTGGTTACAACAATAAAGAATTAATAAGGAACTATCAGTTATGCTATCAGGATATTAAGACTTGAAGTCGTCAATATAGAGATCATACAATACACGTTTGCAGTTTATATTTAGTTGTGATATGTGTATTTCGAAGGGATGACTAAAATCTTACCATTTGGAGCCCAGCTACCCTGTATCAATGACATCATGATGAGAAAGTCGAAGCCATGGAATATCGTAGGTATTTATTCCATAAACAAGCGCTGCTGAAATGTTTCTATAGAGAAATGAAAAGTTTAATTGAACAGTCACCACAAGTCTTTACACTAAAAATTGTAAACTTGGAAGAAGAATACAGCAACAAAACTGTGAGGAAAAAATAAAAAAACCTTCATATAAATTAAGGCGACAGTAGTTTACCGATGTTCAAATCTCATAAATAGATTCAGAAGAGAAATCATGAAAAGAGTATTGGTGAAATGGGCATCTTTTGCAGTAAATTTGATACCGTTAATGTTATTACTACCACTGGATCGATAACTCTGCTGGTGGACTGTAAGTCCCCGTGTCGATCAACAGCACAGTAGCCAGTTCTTTGGTACTGGCATGGAAATACGGATACTGTTTTACATAAATTTTCGTATAAAAATTTCCAAATAATTTTAAATTCAGGAATGTATCGCTATGAAACGCTATAGCTGTCTTATGTGGTATTCTGACATAACGTTATGTGTTTTTATTATTACTTGATGATATTTTGTCTTTACACAATACGGTTTTGACATTACTTATAGTCATATGAAACTTCAAATTAAAAAAAAAGTTGAATATGTTTTATTTTCTTGAATGGCTAAGTTTTACTATAAAACAAGTGTACGTGAACTTTTTGAAAAAGACTTTATATTATAGAAATCTTCAAAAATGTACTGCTATTAAATTATTGCCTTCCCGTGCACTAATTCGCCAATATTTTCCAGTATGCAGTAACCTTAACTATGTGAACTCTCGTTAGAATTTCGACAACCGCAAAGCGCAAGTGCGAGGGGGGAAACCAATGAAAGAATGTAAACAAACGTGCACTGGAAGGTAAATAGTAATAACTGATTCTTAAAGAACACATTTAATACAACAAATCATTGAACAACTGTTTCGGAAAAGTTTAATTAACGAATGGGAACGCATGGAAGATATATAAAAAAATATCATGCTCTATACCAATTCACTTATTTGCCACGTGCTCCCCGTGCTCTATGTTGATTGTCTATTAATGTCAAGATCCGGTAAACTTCGGCAATAAAATCGAAAGCTACTTAGCTTGCCGTCAACAATCTCTTCAAATGTATTATTTGTCGATAAAACGTTATAGATTTGTAATAAATTTTGAAAAAAAACGTGCACACAGGACTTAGTGCATTGTATTTGCATGCATTCAATAATTTCGATAACATTAAAATTACAAGAAACTCGTTTCATATGACTTTGATTATGTTTAGATATTACTTTATGATGTTTTGGTATTACTCACAATGGTATAGTTCATTACTTTATAATATCAAATGATATGTTTTCGTAATGACTTGAAACGGTTTTGTCATAACTTAATATGATTTCAACATTATTTAATTTGGTTGTATCATTAGGCAATACTCGATGTGTATGCGGGTTAACGTAATGTAGTTGTTTCTTTACATGAAGTGGTTTTGTTATTTCGTAATGATGATTTGTCAATTCTTATATGGCTTTAACTTTACATAATGATGTTTCAAAATCGATTTCACACTACAACGTGTTCGTTCTAGTGTTCGATGAGATGTTGTCACTCTTTGATGTGGTTATCTTATTACTTGATGAGGAAAACTACGTGACCATTTTGGAAAAAAAATAGTTCTATTTTTAAACAAATGTCCATGTCGTTTTTTTTATGTGCCTCTGATGAGTGTAACTATATGATACGAGTTCGTATTTAAATCTGTCTATTGCGTATCCAGGTCTGTCGATATGGCTTTCTAAAAGGGGACCGAGGGGGATGCATACTTTACGGGGGCGCGGTAGTAAAAACATTGTCTAAAAATAACAATATTTCGAACATAAAGAGGATATCCCCTAACCCCTTGGTCCGCCCACTGTTTTTTCCATAGCTCTCAAATCGAAGGATAGTAGTATTACACTTGGAAATTAGTAAGGATTCCACAGAAAGCTGTGTCTTGCTTTCGATTGCTGATGTCCGTGTAAAAGTGCAATGTTGACAGTAAAAAGTAATTCCATTTATCAGTAAAAAAAATAAATTTCTTTAGATGCTATTTTTTTATCTTGAATATTAGCTTCTGTCCAAGATGTATAACAATCCATGAAGGTTTACAATTTTATCATACGGAATAGATTTAAATTCGGTAAATGTTAAATGTAAAAAAAAAACATTTATCAGAAAAATACAGAAAAATGAAAATAAATATTTTCAATATTTTGCTCTGGATACTGTCTTTTGCTCTTAAAAAAGCTTGTCCGAATTTTATGAAATTCTATAAAGGTTTGACTTAATTTTTTATGTTTAAAAGAATTTAACCACAGACTGAACCTAAAGGTTGACGATGCCACCACCGACGACGGAATCTGGGTTCGCTGTGTCTCGCTTCCACGACATTTCAATATGATAAAAATTCTCCAAGTTTTTAGCGTGTATGATCATTTGAACATATACCAATATCAATCTTTCATTTTGATCAATTGTATTCTCTTATATACCTTGCACTATGTTAAAAAATCTATTTGGAATATCTGTTTCACAGATGACGACGGATATGTTCCAATTGTCGTAACCACAATCCCGTCCTCTCTTCCTCAAATTTTACCTACCGAATGAGAATATTCACCAGATGTGTACTTACATGAGTATATATCTCCCTGATGAATAGCTCCTAATCCTCGCCCAGGTTTGGTTTTACTTTGTTTTTTGTTTTGTTTTATTAGCTCTTCAACATTTGTATTAGGTTGTGGACTTTCAAATATTTCGGCCTCAATCAACACTGATGGAGCATCAATTGTAAAAAATGCGTATCTGGTGCAGTAAAATTGTTATCGTTTATGTAAATGATGATTAAACACAATGAATGTAGTGTCCGTTTAAGAAGTATTTATTTGAATAGTCATTCCAAGTAGTCATTATTAATACTATAAATCTGGGAAAAACAGAGAAAAACAATTGATGAACAAGTTAAAGATTTACAAATGAAGTAGAAATAAATATGTATCCTTTACTATGTTTGTTCATAAATATGTATTATTTGGTCAACAATTGGTTTATGGTTACATAAGTTACATGAAAATCTACATAATCGATCTCCAGTTCCCTTTTAGCTCACCTTGCCGAAAAGCCAAGTGAGATTTTCTCCTCAATTGTCGCCCGTCGTCGTCCGTTAACTTTTATAAAAATCTTCTCTGACGATACTGGGCCAAATTTAAAAAAAAACTTAACCACAATCATTATTGGGGTACCTAGTTTAAAAAAATGTGTCCGAAGACCCCGTCTGTCATCCAAGATGGCCGACATGGATAAAAATAGAACATAGGGGGTAAAATGCCAGTTTACTCTATTATCTTGGAAACCGCTATGATCAGAGAAAATCTGACAAGGGCAGAAATGTTCAGAATGTTGAGATCTACCTGCTGTCTATTTACGTCAAAACTATCAGACGATTTCTTATAGGAGTCATAGCCCTTCAATATCAAATTTAATCCTTTTTTCATTTTTGTCTATTATTTTGAAAACTGTAATAGATACAGAGACATTTTTTAATGAAAAATGTTTAGCAAAACAAGCTCTACAAATAAGTCAACAAGGCTGAAATCACCAGACGTCTCCTTTTTGGAGTTATTGCTATTTAATGACGATTTCTACCCTTGTTTTTGCGTTTTGTCTTATATTTTAAAAACTATAATACTAAAAGATAGGAATAAACTGTAAATGGTAACCAAGTACAAATAAGTCAGTTGACTCCTTATTGGAAGTTATTGCCCTTTAATGACGATTTTTTTCCAATTTTTTTTTCCATTTTTGCTTTTTATTTTGGAAACTATAATAGATAGATAGAAACTTTATATAGCAAAAATTATCATCAAGACAAGATCTACAAATATATCAACATGACTAAAATTGTCAGCTAACTTTTTATGTAGTTATTACCAAAAATTGACTATTGTTGAAGAGGTGAGCGACACAGGCTCTTTAGAGTCTCTAGTTTGTTCAATTAGCAAACTGAATCTTTACTATATCTGGCCCAAAGAGACCAGGAGCTAACTTTACAAACTAACTAACGCCGACAAAAATATAGGACTTGTGAACGTCACGTAAAATGTCAGTAGACTAAATTTGTTAGCAACTATGTCTTCCTTTTTACTAAATAAATATTTTCACGAACCAGTCATACAGTGAGAATATTTCTTTTTGACAAAAGGTAAAACAATGATAGCATTAACTGATCTTTGCATACAAAAGGTTAGCAACATAAACGTTCGTTTTCTGTTCTGATTTAAAATCCGTTGATCGAATACTGTGTACTCTGACAACAATATTAGAAGGCTTTAAAAGATTTCAAAACAATGAATATTACAAAGATCCAATTAACACATAAACGGCATCCTGCATTCCCATCGCCACTTTGAGCATTGTTATTATTTGTAGTTGCTGGTTGCTGCGAAGGTGGTGGTCCACCAGGACAGTTTGCAGGACGATTTGGGTTATCTGGGCGACACTCAGTTGGCGGAGACAATCCACCGCCACCCCCTCCTCCGCCGCCACCTCCTCCGTTCTCTGGACACTCGCACAGGTAATAGGTCCATGTGTCCCAATCTGCAATATTTTCAAATTTCTAAAACAATATTTCTTTTTAAAACTATATATAAGTATTAAAAATACTGTACATGTAAACTTAACATTGAGCAGAGTTGGATGTTGATATATTTTTGATCAGTAG